ATACATTTTAAAAGTAACCTTCCCAACACTGGTTGTGGAGGTGGGATTCCAGCTTGTGCAGTTTAGACAAGGTGTTAGCTTTGTGGGTCTTTCAGTGAGATGTAGGTATGTAAACTAAACCGCTGTTTTCTTGTGTCCACAGGTATCCAATCAGACATTTAATTCCAGTTGGCCTGACCTCCCAGAGTGTTTTCAGCTCTCTGTTCTCTCATGGGTGCAGTGCATCTATCTGTGGGCCGTCAGCCCAATCTACATCTTCTGTCTCAAGAAGAACAAGAAAGGATACATCATGATGTCACTTTTGAACAGGTTCAAGACGGTGAGAGAGCATTTCATACACTCATCACTTTAGTTTATTATAGTTCAGTGTATGGTAATGTCACATAGTACACATTATTGTGTTTGAAACTAGTTGGGAGGTACTGCAATATGTGAGATTTTGCAAGATAATTCGTATATTCATGTCTATAAAATAAAAACCTGAGGGTCCGATACTGAACCATGTTAGATTCAACATTTATCTTTCATATATTCACGTGTAGTGTCTATAAATTGTACATTGTGTTCATTTATTTAAATAATTACTGAATCATATGTGATCTGTTTCTCATATATGGTGTAACCGCAGTATAAAGATTATGTTCTGTGAATGCAGTTTTTAAAGCCTCTTTTATGTGTTTGATTTCTAGTAACGTACTGCAAACTAAGGTTGCACGAGAGTATATCAATTTTAGTAACAGAGTACTTTGTTTCTCCGTTTTAGATGGTTAAATGATTTTCAGGTTATCATACATGTTATCATATATCATCACATTAACTCGAGCAGCAGAGCGTGTCTAGAACTTGAAGTATAAATAAACAAAACTAACTAACTAAACCAAGCACAAGACTGGCCAGAAATCTCCTCATATTTTGATGGCTTTGATTTCTGTGTCTTATTTCTTTGTTTTTATATAATTCAATGTCTGTTTTCTCTCCCTTCGTCTCTCGGTTTGCTCTCAGGCATTTGGCTTTTTGCTGTGGATTGTGTGCTGGACAGATCTTTTCTACACATTGCACGAAGGCAATCAGCCGCCCATCTACTATGTAACCCCACTCGTGCTTGGCATGACCATGGTGAGGATTTTTTTTAAGTCACAGTGTGAAAGCAACATTGATAGATTTGTTTTTAGTTTTTTTTTTTTTTTTTAGTTTTTTTTTTTTAAAGAATTATACAAATTTTTTTTTGCATATTCAAATACAGGCTGATGTAGACCACATATACAAGAGATTAATATCTGAGTGATAAAAGACTCACAGACACCGGCTTGCCAAAATGACAGCAGCTGTTCGTGTGATGGATAAAGTGAAATAACAACATTGGCAGTTAGCTTGCCTTCAGTGCTCCAGAGGTGTTTCTACATGACTGTAACAGAAAATCGAAGCTGACATTACACACCCATAACCAGCTGTGGCCAGTTAATGTGTGATCCGAATCTTTGTTCATGTTCACATGCACACACTCAAATACTGTGTGTGGGTGAAAGGCTGAAATCCTTTCTCTTAGCTTCTTCTAAGCAAGTGTAACTCGGCTATGAAGCACAACAAAATAAGTCAGTTTTGTGTAAACAGAAACGTCCACAGAGATGTGGAGGAGCCTGTATAGACAAACAATGTGACTCGGAGCTTAAGGAGCGGGAAGCCTCAAACTTTTTTTTAATCATCTTAAGTGCACTTATGGTCTAGAATGAAAAAACAAAAGAGGAAAACTGTAATTCTGTGTCCATTTCCTGCTTATGTCTGTCCGTGGGCCAGAGCTAAATTATTTGGTCTTTGTCAGGAAATCCAAAGGATCAGTATTTCAGCTACTCATTGTTTGATTTCCTGAAGTAACAAAAAGTGGGAAACATTCCTGTATCACTGTACTTCAAAGACACAGGTCACAAATGCACAAATGTTTCACAAATGTTGTTGTTTTTTTTAAAAACAACAACAACAAAAAGAAAACCAAATTAAACTATCCAAGAGAAAAGGGTTTCTCACACTCATATATGCTACTTTGATTTGAAATCCCTGTAGGTGATGTTGCATCATTCCACACTCATAAATGTACAGGGTTTGGCAGCAGAACTGTAGAGTTTCTGATGGTTCAGCTTTTTTCAACTTGCAGTCATGGACACAATAGAAGAGGGGTGTCCAACTCCAGGCCTCGAGGGCCGGTGTCCTGCAGGTTTTAGATCTTACCCTGAGTCAACACACTTGAATCAAATGATTAGTTTATTACCAGGCCTCTGGAGAACTTCAAGACATGTTGAGGAGGTAATTTAACCATTTAAATCAGCTGTGTTAGATCAAGGACACATCTTAAACCTGCAGGACACGGCCCTCGAGGCCTGGAGTTCCCCCACCCCTGCTTTAGAAGATTAAAAATACAAGAGCTGATATTATAGGTTCAGAGTAATTAGTTTGAAGTGCCGTTTCACCAGAAGAGAATAGAGATGGCCGTAAAAATGCCATTAAAACAGTCAGCTTCAATTGGAAATTCTCTGAACTGATACAATTCACCCAAAAAAATACACAAAATATTGATAAAAGATATGCACAGTGCCCGCGAGACCATGAAATGAATCCTAGACTTCACACTGAAGCCTCTTTGCCATCATGTCAGACGTGCTAGACAACATGCTAGAACTTCACTCACTAACTGCAGCAGTAACTTTGTTGATGGTCTTTTCTATTTGTCAGATAATGCCAATAAAATGCTCCAAAAACCATCAACACCACAGACACGTTTAAAACCTCTCTAAGGCTACGTTCACACTGCAGGTGAAAGCGCATCAAATCAGATTTTTTTTT